TTTGATTGGATTCAAAGGAAAATTTCAGTTGGGTATTCTGGATAAGAAGCATTTGATTATTAGATTTGAATTAGAGGATGACTATCTCCGATGTTGGAATAGACAGATCTGGGATATTTTTGGCAACGCTATGCGTGTAACTAAATGGACACCGGAATTTCAACCTAATGTGGAATCTCCGGTTGTCCCTATTTGGTTAAGTCTGGAATTTTTGCCACTTCATTTACACGATCAGAGAGCACTTTTTGACATCGCAAGATTAATTGGGAGGCCTATCAAAATCGATGCTGCTACTGCATCTTTTTCACGACCTTCTTTGGCTAGAGTGTGTGTAGAGGTGGATATATCTCAGGATATGCCTAATAAAATTTGGATTCAAAATGGATCCAAAGGTTTTTTCCAGCCCGTGGTCTATGAAAGTAGACCATTATATTGTGGACATTGCCTTCACCTTGGTCATTCAACTCATACATGCTCTAGGAAACCCGGGAATGATACATCTAAATTGAAGAATGATCCTAAGGAGATTGGGAAGGCTAAGGTTCCCTTGGTTGATTCTGGTCCAACCTCTTCCAAGTTGGGAGGTTCTGGGCAGTGGGTTATCAAGGCCAAAGATAATCCTATTGTTATTACAGACGGGGAGATAGGGGTTGGGACTTTGGATCATCCTATTACAAAATCTGCTAACCCAACTCCTATAGATAAAGGAAAAGGGATTGTGATGGAGTCTCAGCCAGTGATTCAACAAGTGGAAGTAACAGATTTTCCTTCAACATCTAAGGTTCAGATGGATTCTGATGCAGAGGTGGAGGTATACACTGAAGTCTTGGATCCTTCTGGGCCTTCAATCTCACAGCACACAGACTTTGAGTTGCCATCATTTCACAAGCACGAGTCCCTCACTGAAGGAATTCCTCCCTCTGAAATATATCAAACTCATAGGGCATCAGATGATTTCAAGATTTTGCAGATTAATAAACAAAATGAATATGATCCAACTGTTTCTGCAAAGGGGTACTCATCGGATGGAGATGGAGCTTTTATTGATAATATTCAGGGTTGGAAGAAGGGTCAGAAGATGCTTACCTCAAAAGTGAATGCTCTCCTGCAGTTGAATCCTTCTATGAAGACTGATTCAGAGTTAGTAGCAAACCTGTCAAAAGGAAATTTTAATAATCAAGATGGTTTTATTACAGTTGCTAGGAAAAAGAAAAAGAAGCCATCTCAGGTGGTACCCGACACTCCTAGAATTACTAGGAATGCAGCAAAAAAGCTGGCTTTAGCTTTTTCTGCCATTCCATGATGAATTGTCTACTTTGGAATGTCCGTGGTCTTGTTTCTTCCTGTCCAAGACTACGAGATTTAATTAGACAGTGGAATATTCATCTTTTCGTTGCTATTGAACCAATTGTTTCTCCTAATAAAATTGATGAGATTGCTAATCAGATTGGATTAAAGTCTGTTTTTTGCTGTACTAAGAATAAAATTTGGTTGTTTTGGGACAATTCAAAAGTGGATATCTCAGATATTACTACTGGAGGTCAGTTTATCCATATGAAAATCTATAGTGGGGATGTTTCCTTTTGGTTTACTTCAATTTATGGAAGCCATAGTCATATTGAAAGAAGAGATCTTTGGCAATTTATGGAAAAATGGGCTGGGAACAATAATGACCCTTGGTTTGTTGGGGGGGACTTCAACGCTATCGCTTATCAGGGAGAGCATAAAGGTCACAATATACCTCTTGCGGCTAGTATGAATGAATTCAAGGACTGTTTGGTTAATAGTGATCTGCTTGATTTACCTTTTATTGGACCTCAATTTACCTGGTCAGGGGTTAGAGCCAATGGAAGAGTGTGGCGTAGATTGGATAGAGTTTTGTTTAACTCTGCATTCTTGGGGCTTTATGATACCATCCAGGTTAAACATCTCAATAAGACATCCTCAGATCACTCCCCAATCTTATTGCAATGTAAAAATCAGTTTATGGTTGGCCCAAAGCCCTTTAAATTTCAAAATATGTGGATTTCACATCCCACTTTCTTAGATGTTGTGAGAAAAGAATGGGATGCTTGTACTACAGGAGGGGGTATGAGGGGTCTTTACAATAAACTACAGTCTCAAAAGGGCCTTGAAGATATGGAATAAAAACACTTTTGGGGATATCTTTCAAGATATTAAGAAGTTGGAAGCTGAGGTCACTGATGCAGAGGTTTTATTTGATTCTAATCCTACTGATGCACATAGAGAGGATTGGTCTTTCAAGCAGGCCCTTCTTCTTTCTAAGCATAAACAAGAGAATGAATTCTGGAGGCAAAGGGCACATCTTAAATGGCTAAAAGAAGGGGACTCTAACACTAAGTTCTATCATGATTATGTGAATATCAAGAGGAGGATGCAGTCCTTATCTGCCATAAAAGACAATGCTGGGAACTGGTGTAATGACTCTGAAGCTATTGGCAAGGCTGCTGAAGAGTACTTTCAGGATATATTTTCTGAGGAAGAGGTTCAAGAGGTGGACAATATCATGCAGTACATTCCTGAGTTAGTTGACAAAAATGATAATGAGAAGCTTATGCTTCTGCCTAATCATGAAGAAGTTAAACATGCAGTCTGGGGATTAGATAAAGACAGCGCAGCTGGACCTGATGGTTACAATGGAGTATTTTTTAGACAATGTTGGGGAATTGTAGGTGATGATGTTGTAAGGGCTATTCAAGATTTTTTCTTGGGTAATATAATCCCTACAGCAATGGCCAGCTCTCTTATTGTGCTCATTCCTAAGAAAGACAAGATATCAACATTTTCAGATTTCAGGCCTATCAGTCTTTCTAATTTCATCAGTAAAGTTTGTACAAAAATTTTGGCTACTAGGCTTATTCTTATACTGCCTAAACTGATTTCTAATGAGCAAGCAGGTTTTATGAAGGGTAGGGACATCTCAGATCATATTTTGGTGGCACAGGAGATGATTAATTCAATTGACAGAAAGACAAGGGGCACCAATATAGTTGTTAAGCTAGATATGGCTAAGGCTTTTGACAGATTATCTTGGACTTTTTTAAGAGCAATTTTATCCAAATTTGGATTTGCTGGGAATTTTGTTGATTTGGTTATCAATCACTTACAGGCTACACATTTTTCTGTCCTCATCAATGGCTCTCCAAAGGGTTTCTTCAGGCCTCTTAGAGGGGTAAAACAGGGAGATCCCCTTTCACCCTTTCTCTTTATTTTGGCCACAGAAGCCTTATCAAGAGGTTTGAAAAGTCTTATTGCAGAGAGAAAAATAAAGCCATATTATATTGGTCCTGTTGGACAGTCGGTTAGCCATCTTTGTTATGCAGATGATATTTTAGTTTTTCTAAATGGGGAAGCTAGATCTATTCAGAATTTTAAACATTTCTTGGGTTTGTATCAAAGGGCATCTGGGCAAGCAATTAATTTTGATAAGAGCAATTTTGGTTGTGGTAAAACCTCCCTTGCAAGAATCAGGAAGATGGAGAAATTACTGGGTATGATCAAGATTAATCTGCCAATGAGGTATCTTGGTTTATCCCTGCACAAAGGTATTAATAGAAGGAGTTACTGTAAAGATATTCTTCAAAGTTTTGACAAAAAACTATCCACTTGGAAGCAGAGGAATCTTAACTTTGGAGGAAGGCTTGTGCTTATCAAGTATGTCCTCAATACTATTCCTTTACACATTCTGGCTGTAGATACTCTTCCCAAGGCTGTCTGTAGATGCTTGGAAAAAAAGATGTCTCATTTTTTGTGGGGTTCCAATGCAGACAAAAACAAATACCATTGGATTAGATGGAAGGATATTTGTTTGCCTTATGAGGAAGGTGGTTTGAATATAAGGTCTCTTATTGATATAGAGAAAGCTTATTCTCTGAAGCTTTGGTGGAAATGGAGAGGTAATAAATCTTTTTGGGCTACCTTTTGTAATGTTAGATACTCTAGAGGCTCAAATATGATTCCTAAACAAGCAGACTCAGGGGTTTGGAAAAGAATTTGTAGAATAAATGAGTTGGGTCAGCTTCTTAGTACTTGCAATCAGGATGGGGAGTTAGTGTGGTTACCAGAAAGTGATGGCAGATTTACCTTATCCTCAGCTTTTCAGAGTGTGAGAAGAACCAAGAACTCTTCCTTCTCCTTCAAGCATACCTGGAATAAATATCAGCAAAGTCAAATACAAATTTTTCAATGGAAGGTTCTTAATAGAATTCTTCCATTTCCAGATAACCTGAGTAGGTTCAACATTGCTATCTTTCCTTCCATGTGTCCTTTTTGTAAGCAGAATTCGGCTTTCATGGATCATGTCTTGCTTAACTGTTCTTTTAGTTGGAAAATATGGGCATATTTTCTTGGAATTTTTGAAATCTCCATTCCTACTATTCCAATCTCAATGAGACAGATGCTTATTGCATGGTGGCTGGAAGCTGGGAATAGAAGTCTTATTGATGCTTTTAAACATAATATGGCTGGAATAATCTCTTGGCATATTTGGAAGAATTACTGTCAGATTGTTTGGGGTGGGGAGGAAGGAACTTCAAATTGGCAGATGGTAATTAGACAAGTCAAGCTTTTTTCTCGGAATTGGTCTGGAATTAAGCTTAATAAAGCAAAATTAGGAAAGCCTAGTGCCATTGTAACACCCCGATTTTAGCGATCTAGTTATTTTAATCTTTTATTTTATTTAATCAGTTAAATAAGATTATTTTATGAATAATGTGATTATTGTTTGATTATGTGTTTCTGGCAGGTAACGTTGAACGGTAAGCTCTAATAATTTTAAGTGAAGAAATAATTGATAGTCTTTATTTTATTAGTTCACCGTGAAAGTTGAAGTAAAATTTTCAGTTCGAGTCAGAAGCATTTTTTTTTATATAGACTTCGAAACCCAAATCAGTTATTTTGGCCCGAATCAGTAATTGGATTAAAAACCCAAAAAGGAGATAGTTATTTATACACTACCACTCGTAAACCCTTGGTCCGCTCTTTCTTCTCTGCCTTTGAAACTTTCCTTCCAGACCATCGGACCTAGCCTCTCGACCAGGTAAGCTTAATTCCATGTTTTTTTTTCTTCTTCGTGTACTTCTTCTTCTGGGATTGTCTAAAGCAAGTATCGATCACCTAGGTTCTCTGAAGGCTTATATTAGTCAGCGAACTGATTTTGGCGAAGCCAACAAACTGATTTTAAATCTGTATAACTACTTGAGTTCTCCCTAAAATTTCTCTCATAGAATGATTCGGGACTATAATTTTAAGTGTAGGTTTGAAAGTATCCTCTAGTTGATTTGATCTTAGAGTTTAAATGGTTAAATGATATATTCTAGTTTCTGAAAAGGCGAGTGTGCAGCCTGCCACTATCTCAGATTTCCTATTATATTTCCCTTCTATTAAAACTTAGAAGTTCAAAAGAAATTCTGATTTTCAGTTCCAATAGCTTGTATTTTTACTCATTCAGATCCCAGATAGTTCTGAAAGTGATGAGCTCTTTTCTTATGTTCTGTTTTGTAAAAGTTTATATGAAAATCATGACTGGGGTTCATATTAATGACATTTAGTGAGTTTATATTAATGCAGCAGTGCTATTTGTTTTGTAAGGAGTGTGGGTTTTAATTTTTCTTACAATCAAGTTTATCCAAATACTCAATTTGTTAGGATTTAGTCCCGTGTTCAGTAAACAGGATTTGAGTTTCATTAGTGCAGCAATATTTTGAAGTATATGTTCTGAGGCAAATCTGACTGATAGGTGTACTAAAACTAGGACTGCTGCTAAATTAGTTAAAAGACAATGTTTTACCGATCAAAGTAGCATTTGAAATCAGGTTTTCTTTCGCCTTATTAAGCAGTACATGGGTAAACTAGTTAGTTTTATTCCAAGTGCTACGTAGCAGTAGCAATAGATATCCTCAGATTTTGATGGTTTAAGACCCGAGATTTATACTTTTAATATTATATTTTTTTAAAGATTTTAAAGAAGAGCTTACCGGAAGACGTTATCAAGGTTCCACACTTATTTGAGTAATTTGAGTTCAGCTTCCATCAGGTAAGTTCACTACCACCTGTACATGTTTGTTCAACCAAATGCAAGAAAGAAGTCTGGTTGATTTTTAATAGATAATTTTAGACTATTTGCTATTATGTGAACTATGTGAATTTATGTGATGAGTTATTTTTAATTGCTAGATTAAGTTATGTTTATTATCTGGCATAGTCAAGATTTGTCAGTACTTTTGTTTTCGGATTTAATGATATTTTTAGTCAAACGTCACCATAAAAAGAACTAATATTTAAAGTGAAAGATCAGGTGATATGTACTCGGGAACAAGTTCCCTCAGTTTATCAGTTATCAGCTATCAGTTTCAGAAAGTCCGATATGTTTAGTGGGTCGCTCCCCTGAGCTGTCGGATTGGCGCCTTTGAGTACATATCACGGGCCCACAGTTAAAATTAGCCACAAAGAGTTTTACAGAAAATTGTTTTTGAGATCTCCTTCAGAAAGTTTTACAGAGAAGTTTTGAGAAAGAAATTTTGAGATCTCCTCAGCAGTTCTGAGAAATTGTTTTAGAAAATATTTTCCTTTTGAGATCTCCCTCAGAATGTATTTGAGAAGTTATGTGTTAGTATTTGCTCAGTGCATGCTTATAGCCTAAATTTATCTATTGATAAATTGGCATAGACTTCTAGATATTTTTGTGGATTCATAGTGACTTACTAAGCGTAAAGCTTATCAGTTTCTTTCTTCGCATGTACAGATACTAAGGGTAAGGCCAAGGCCTAGGAAGGCGATGAGAGAGTGGGACGCGTGCCAAGATGAGTTAACGGGAACGACCTTGGTGGCTCCTAGCTAGTTCATTTTATCGAAGTGTTTCAGTTTTATAACAAGTGATTGATATTATTTGATTTGGTTTTGGAGTATTTATTTGGATTATTTGAAGTTTGAATAAATTCCTGGATCCAGGTGGTTATCACATTTGCTAGTGATAACTAGACTTTATTGAGTTTTTTTTATTTGGAGTTAAATTTTAGCTACATTTGAGATTTTATCAGGGTTATTTCTTAAACAAACGGCCGTTATATTGCACTTTATTTTTTTATAAAAGTAGTATGCTAGTGTAGCGTTTCCTTTAACCCTGAGAGGGGCGTTACAAGTTTGGTATCAGAGCCCAGGTTGTCCCGTAACTTCACCTGTCACCGTACACGTGCTCATCATCTTCCAAGTAAGTATTTTAAGTTAAGTTTTAAATTTCTGTACATGAGTAAGAAGAATTTATTTGATAGAAAGCAGTAGTGAGAATGTTTTGCTTTTTAGTATTGTGTATGGCACATAAATAAAAGTTTATATTTAGGTGCCTCACGAAAATGAGGAGAACCCGTGGTCGTCCAGTAGGTGGCAGCAATGCTCAAGGAAGCAGTAATGAGCAAGGAAACAACCACGAGCAAGATTTGGCAGGTATTGTAGCGCAACTTCAGAGGCAATTGCAGGAGCAGCAACAAACTATCGACCGATTGACCGCGAACAATCAAAGGGGCGGTGGTGAAGGAGGAAATGCTGGTAATAATCAAGGCGTGGGAAACGGAGCACCGAGGCGAGAACCCCTGATGATCACTTGGAGGAAGATCAAGCCCGCAGATTTTGAGGGGGGTCCCGACCCTCTAGCTGCTCAGGGATGGCTGAAGACCATTGAAGGCATTGCGAATGGTTTGGAATTAGCAGATAATGACAAGGTTCGATGCGCGTCTTATAGCCTCACCATGGATGCTCGAATATGGTGGGAGACTGTGGAAACAAGGTATAACGTTGCGCAGATGACATGGGAGCAGTTCAAAGAGGAGTTCACCAACCAGTATTTCAATGCTAGTGTCACACGTAAGTACCAGGATGAGCTTCAGAATCTACGTCAGGGAACCATGGATGTAGCAACCTTGGCGACACAATTTCAGAGACTACTACGTATTTGCCCTACAGCTGCTCCGACAGAGAGGGATAAGGTGAAGTTGTTCCTGAAAGCCCTTAGGAAGGATATAGCAGTTCACTTGGAGAACGGTAACCAGACCCCGGCTACATTAGTTGACTGTGTCCTTATAGCGAGTCAAAAGGAGTACTACCTCCCTACCGATCCAGTGCCCGCTCAGTCGCAGCCTGTGCCATTGCAGCCACAGAATCAGCCACAGGGATACACGAGTAACTCGAAGAATAACAAGAAGAGAAGTTTTAAAAGCAGTAACGGCAAGGGAGCTGGACATCATCAGGAGCGACAAAATAAACAGATGAAGTTTCCGCAGTGTGCGAATTGTGGCCGTAATCATCCAGGACAATGCAGATTGGGTTCGAGAGCTTGCTTCACTTGTGGCCTTGAGGGCCATATGTTCAGAGACTGTCCAAGAAAGAATCAGCAAGGCTACCAGATCACTCAGATGCCGAGGAATCCAGCACCTTCAGCGGTCGTCCATAATATGCAGGCTTATCTAGAAGGACCATCCATCCAGCAGGGACGCCTTGAGGCACCACCAGAGGCCCCGGTTGCTAGAGTGTTCACCATCTCCAAGGAAGAGGCATCTATAAATCCCGGAGTTGTCACAGGTCAGATACTTGTTCTAAACAGATATGCTAATGTGTTATTTGACACAGGAGCCACACATTCCTTTGTATCTCTTGAGTTTGCTAGACCCTTAGCAACATGTCAAGATAAGTTAGATTATAAGTTCACCACAGCACTTCCGTCGGGAGAGATCATGTTGTCAACTCATTGGCTACGAGCAGTGCCAATGAGTATTGCGGAAAGAGAGTTATTTGTAGATCTGATTGTGCTCAACATGAAGGATTATGATGTGATTCTCGGCATGGATTTTTTGCAGAAGTATAACGCTTCAATTATATGCCGAAAGAGAATTGTTAGTTTTGTGCCTGCAGGGTCTGATCCTTTCTTATTTCTTGGGGAACCAAAAAGATCAGGGAAGGTGATGATTTCAGCATTGCAAGCAGGGAGACTGATTCGAGGTGGATGTGAAGCTTTCTTAGCTCACGTAGTAGACAAAAACTCAGGGGAACCTATGCAGCTTTCTGAAGTTCCCGTTGTGGAAGGTTACAGTGATGTATTCCCCGAAGATCTTTCAGGATTACCACCCAGTAGAGAGATTGAGTTCGAGATTGAGTTGCTGCCCGGTACCGCACCGATTTCCAGAGCACCGTATCGAATGGCCCCAGCAGAGTTACAAGAACTCCATAAACAGTTGCAGGAGTTGCTAGAGAAAGGTTTCATTCGGCCCAGTTACTCGCCGTGGGGAGCTCCGGTATTATTCGTGAAGAAGAAGGATGGCACAATGAGATTGTGCATAGATTACAGAGAACTCAATAAAGTGACTATCAAGAATAGGTATCCTCTGCCTAGAATTGATGACCTGTTTGACCAGTTGAAGGGAGCGGTGATTTTCTCCAAGATTGACCTTCGTTCAGGGTATCATCAGCTAAGGATCAAAGAAGGAGACACCCCAAAAACAGCTTTTAGGTCGCGGTATGGACACTATGAATTTGTGGTTATGCCTTTCGGCCTAACTAATGCTCCAGCGGCGTTTATGGATCTGATGAATAGAGTGTTCAGGGAGTTTCTTGACAAGTTTGTCATTGTTTTCATTGATGATATTTTGATCTACTCAAAGTCTAAGGAGGAGCATGAAGAACACTTGAGAGAAGTACTGGAGACACTGAGAAAACATAAGCTATATGCTAAATTTTCAAAGTGTGAGTTCTGGCTTGACCAAGTAGCATTCCTTGGCCACATAGTTTCAAAGCAAGGAGTTTCGGTGGATCCTTCAAAGGTAGCGGCTGTTCGAGATTGGAGTAGGCCAAAGAATGCGAAAGAAGTTCGAAGTTTCTTAGGTCTTGCGGGGTATTATAGGAAGTTTGTGGAAGGCTTTTCTGCTATAGCTCTTCCATTGACTACCTTGACTCGTAAGGGTAAGAAATTTGAGTGGACTGATCATTGTGAGAAGAGTTTCCAAGAGCTGAAAAATAGGTTGACATCTGCACCCGTTTTAGCACTCCCAGAAGGCAATGAAGGGTTTGTTATCTACACAGATGCATCGAAGATGGGACTTGGAGCAGTTCTTATGCAGAATGAACGCGTCATTGCGTACGCATCTCGGCAACTCAAGGAGTATGAGACGAATTACCCCACCCATGACTTAGAGTTAGCAGCGGTGATTCATGCCTTGAAGATTTGGAGACATTACTTGTATGGAGTCCAGTGCAAGATCTTCACTGATCATAAAAGTCTGAAATATATATTCACGCAGAAGGACCTCAACATGAGGCAAAGAAGGTGGCTTGAGCTAGTGAAAGACTACGATTGTGAGATCCTTTATCATCCGGGAAAAGCCAACAAGGTAGCAGATGCACTTAGTAGGAAGTCTTCTGCAACATTAATGGTTATGAGGGTAATGGATCCAAAGCTGAGGAAGGAAATTGAAGATTTTGAGTTAGAGATTGTAAATGGGCGACTAGCGGCGATGACAGTGACTCCGTCAATATTTGAGGACATGGCTATGAAGCAAGAACTTGATCCCGAGTTAGTTAAGTTGAAGGAGTGCGTCAAGGAGGGAAAATGTCCCGATTTCCGTTTGGATGAGAGTGGGAGATTATTACTTCAAAACAGGGTGTGCATTCCTGATGTCGAGGGGTTGAGGAAGCAGGTTATGAAGGAGGCTCATGAAACACCATTCACTATGCATCCTGGTTCGACCAAGATGTACCATGACTTGAAGAAAAACTTTTGGTGGTCAGGGATGAAGAAAGATGTTGCGAAGTTCGTCCAATCATGTCTGACATGTCAACAAGTAAAAGCTGAACATCAAAGACCAGGTGGGGAGCTTCAGCCTATCCAGATTCCAGAGTGGAAATGGGATGAGATATCCATGGACTTTATTATGGGATTGCCGAAGACAACTGGAGGTTATGATGCTATATGGATTATAGTGGACAGGTTGACCAAATCTGCTCATTTTATCCCAATTTCAGCAAGTATATCTTTGGAGAAGTTGGCTAAATTATATATACAGGAGATTGTTAGATTGCATGGCGTTCCAAAGAGTATTATTTCTGACAGAGATTCCAGATTTACATCTCACTTTTGGAAGTGTGTACAACAATCATTGGGCACGAAGTTGAAGTTTAGTACCGCTTTCCATCCTCAGACCGATGGTCAGACAGAGAGGACAAACCAGATTTTGGAGGATATGCTGCGGGCATGTGCACTAGATTTTCAAGGAGGATGGGTGAAATACCTAAGTCTGGCAGAGTTTGCTTATAATAATAGTTATCAAGCAACAATCGGCATGGCTCCGTATGAGGCGTTGTATGGGAGAAGGTGTAGATCTCCCATATCATGGTATGAAACAGGAGAAAAGAAGATACTAGAAGAGGAACTGCAAGGGAGGACTGAGTTGATAGATGAGACCTCAGAAGCTATTAAGACTATTCGGCAAAGGATAGAATCTGCCCAGTGCAGACAGAAAAGTTATGCAGATGTTCGGAGAAGGCCTCTAGAGTTCGAAGTGGGGGATTTTGTTTTCGTGAAGATAGCCCCGATGAAGGGTGTGATGCGGTTTGGAAAGAAAGGAAAGCTTAGCCCAAGATTCACCGGACCATATGAGATCACTAGACGAGTGGGGAAGGTAGCTTATGAGCTCGCGCTACCTGAAAAGTTTTCTGGCATTCATAATGTTTTCCATGTTTCGATGTTGAGGAAATACTTTGCTGATCCGGAGCATGTTTTGATACCCCCAACAATAGAAGTGCAAAATGATTTGTCTTACGAGGAGAAGCCAGTACAAATTCTTGACCGAGAGGTTAGACGTCTCCGGAATAAAGAGATAGCTCTAGTAAAAGTGTTGTGGCGAAATGACAAAGTTGAAGAAGCTACTTGGGAGGTTGAGGATGACATGAGGCGGCGTTATCCTGAGTTGTTCTAAGTTTCGAGGACGAAACTTTTATAAGGTGGGAGGGGTTGTAACACCCCGATTTTAGCGATCTAGTTATTTTAATCTTTTATTTTATTTAATCAGTTAAATAAGATTATTTTATGAATAATGTGATTATTGTTTGATTATGTGTTTCTGGCAGGTAACGTTGAACGGTAAGCTCTAATAATTTTAAGTGAAGAAATAATTGATAGTCTTTATTTTATTAGTTCACCGTGAAAGTTGAAGTAAAATTTTCAGTTCGAGTCAGAAGCATTTTTTTTTATATAGACTTCGAAACCCAAATCAGTTATTTTGGCCCGAATCAGTAATTGGATTAAAAACCCAAAAAGGAGATAGTTATTTATACACTACCACTCGTAAACCCTTGGTCCGCTCTTTCTTCTCTGCCTTTGAAACTTTCCTTCCAGACCATCGGACCTAGCCTCTCGACCAGGTAAGCTTAATTCCATGTTTTTTTTTCTTCTTCGTGTACTTCTTCTTCTGGGATTGTCTAAAGCAAGTATCGATCACCTAGGTTCTCTGAAGGCTTATATTAGTCAGCGAACTGATTTTGGCGAAGCCAACAAACTGATTTTAAATCTGTATAACTACTTGAGTTCTCCCTAAAATTTCTCTCATAGAATGATTCGGGACTATAATTTTAAGTGTAGGTTTGAAAGTATCCTCTAGTTGATTTGATCTTAGAGTTTAAATGGTTAAATGATATATTCTAGTTTCTGAAAAGGCGAGTGTGCAGCCTGCCACTATCTCAGATTTCCTATTATATTTCCCTTCTATTAAAACTTAGAAGTTCAAAAGAAATTCTGATTTTCAGTTCCAATAGCTTGTATTTTTACTCATTCAGATCCCAGATAGTTCTGAAAGTGATGAGCTCTTTTCTTATGTTCTGTTTTGTAAAAGTTTATATGAAAATCATGACTGGGGTTCATATTAATGACATTTAGTGAGTTTATATTAATGCAGCAGTGCTATTTGTTTTGTAAGGAGTGTGGGTTTTAATTTTTCTTACAATCAAGTTTATCCAAATACTCAATTTGTTAGGATTTAGTCCCGTGTTCAGTAAACAGGATTTGAGTTTCATTAGTGCAGCAATATTTTGAAGTATATGTTCTGAGGCAAATCTGACTGATAGGTGTACTAAAACTAGGACTGCTGCTAAATTAGTTAAAAGACAATGTTTTACCGATCAAAGTAGCATTTGAAATCAGGTTTTCTTTCGCCTTATTAAGCAGTACATGGGTAAACTAGTTAGTTTTATTCCAAGTGCTACGTAGCAGTAGCAATAGATATCCTCAGATTTTGATGGTTTAAGACCCGAGATTTATACTTTTAATATTATATTTTTTTAAAGATTTTAAAGAAGAGCTTACCGGAAGACGTTATCAAGGTTCCACACTTATTTGAGTAATTTGAGTTCAGCTTCCATCAGGTAAGTTCACTACCACCTGTACATGTTTGTTCAACCAAATGCAAGAAAGAAGTCTGGTTGATTTTTAATAGATAATTTTAGACTATTTGCTATTATGTGAACTATGTGAATTTATGTGATGAGTTATTTTTAATTGCTAGATTAAGTTATGTTTATTATCTGGCATAGTCAAGATTTGTCAGTACTTTTGTTTTCGGATTTAATGATATTTTTAGTCAAACGTCACCATAAAAAGAACTAATATTTAAAGTGAAAGATCAGGTGATATGTACTCGGGAACAAGTTCCCTCAGTTTATCAGTTATCAGCTATCAGTTTCAGAAAGTCCGATATGTTTAGTGGGTCGCTCCCCTGAGCTGTCGGATTGGCGCCTTTGAGTACATATCACGGGCCCACAGTTAAAATTAGCCACAAAGAGTTTTACAGAAAATTGTTTTTGAGATCTCCTTCAGAAAGTTTTACAGAGAAGTTTTGAGAAAGAAATTTTGAGATCTCCTCAGCAGTTCTGAGAAATTGTTTTAGAAAATATTTTCCTTTTGAGATCTCCCTCAGAATGTATTTGAGAAGTTATGTGTTAGTATTTGCTCAGTGCATGCTTATAGCCTAAATTTATCTATTGATAAATTGGCATAGACTTCTAGATATTTTTGTGGATTCATAGTGACTTACTAAGCGTAAAGCTTATCAGTTTCTTTCTTCGCATGTACAGATACTAAGGGTAAGGCCAAGGCCTAGGAAGGCGATGAGAGAGTGGGACGCGTGCCAAGATGAGTTAACGGGAACGACCTTGGTGGCTCCTAGCTAGTTCATTTTATCGAAGTGTTTCAGTTTTATAACAAGTGATTGATATTATTTGATTTGGTTTTGGAGTATTTATTTGGATTATTTGAAGTTTGAATAAATTCCTGGATCCAGGTGGTTATCACATTTGCTAGTGATAACTAGACTTTATTGAGTTTTTTTTATTTGGAGTTAAATTTTAGCTACATTTGAGATTTTATCAGGGTTATTTCTTAAACAAACGGCCGTTATATTGCACTTTATTTTTTATAAAAGTAGTATGCTAGTGTAGCGTTTCCTTTAACCCTGAGAGGGGCGTTACAGCCATACTTTACGAAGAAGAATTTCTTCATCTATCTTTTCGGTTAAGGAGAACAAAGGTTATAACTATCAAATGGAAGATACCTGATCTGGATTACAAACTAAATGTAGATGCTTCCTTCCGGTCAGATGCTGCATCCGGTGGAGCGGTCTTACGATCCAGATCAGGCGAGTTGGTGGTAGCTTTTCATTTCCCTTTAATTGCTTCTTCGGCTTTAGATGCAGAGATTCAGGCGCTTCATCACTCGGTGAGTTGGGTGGTTGGAAAAGGTTATCAGGCTGTGGAGGTGGAGACGGATTCGGTGAAGGCGGTGGATGAGGTTTCAGGTGGGAAGCTGGATGGACGATGGATGAATTTGGTGGGAGATCTTAGAAGGTGGAGAGATGGTTCGTGTCTTTCCTTCAGACATATTCCGCGTGAGATTAATTGGACAGCTCATTTTCTGTCTCAAATAAAATCTAATGATCTGGTATTTTATTATAATGCTGGACAACTTCCTGTTCATATTCGACGAAAGTTAATCGCTGATAAGTTGGGTTTGTGCTACTTCAGAGCTATTTAATTTTATTCATGTTACTTTATTGGGTAAGGTTTGGTCCCCCCAATAGTTTTAATTTATGATTTTTCAGATTATGTCTGTTTTGCTGAAGGGGTTTTGGCCTAGTCCCCCCCTGGATTTTTGTAAACCTCGTTATTAATAAAATGTGGTAAATGCTCCCCGGCATTTACCCCACTGGATGCGGTGGTTGACCTTCCGGGGTAAAAAAAAAAAAAAAAAAAAAAAAAAAGTCGTTTTTATTTAAAACATGTATGAAAGTGAACAAGTACATAAGTAAAGTGTATGTTAATGATAGATACAATGCAATGAAACTATATAAAAGTGAACTTGACAACTGTGCATATAAAATGCACTTAACTGTGTATTTAAATGCAGTTAGCATATAGTTTTGAATAAAAGTGCATTCATTTCATGTTGGGATGCAAATAAAAAAATTAATGTTGATTTCATTGATATATATTACATTTGAAAAGAAAAAGATCAACATACATCAGTATAAAAATTAATGTACGAATTATAGAATATGTTTTTGTTCAACATAATTATCTAAATTATACTACGTATGTTAGAGTATCCTATATTTGGAAATAAATCAAGTAATATAATGTACTATTTATTATAATAAATGATGTTAATTATGGGAGTAGTTACTCCGTATTAACTACTATACACTTTTTAGGAGGATTTCCTATTGTAGTGCATCATGCGTGATATCCATCATGAAGAATTTGACCATGATGCCCTTAATGTATATCAAGTTCAACGGATGCCTTTTTTAGAGGATGATTTCACCGCAAATCATGCATTCTCTATCCTAATTTCGAATCTTTCTTTGGCCATCGGATTGAAAAAAAGAAAGGTTGGATTTCATTCTTTTTTACTTTCCTAAGAGGGTGTTCTCACAAGAACTAACCCCTATATATATATACACACACACACGTATTAAAGTATAGAAAGTAGGAAAAAACGCAAAACCCTCTCCCATAGTCCCATCTCTCTAAACCTCTCTCACCTCACCCACCTCGGCCACCATGGTCGGGGAGACACTACCTCCTTCAACCAATTGTCCACAACCACCCAAACCCAATCCAGCCGCCCACCACCTACCAAAATTAAACCGGAAATACGACCAACCCCAGCTCCAGCCAATTCGCACCTTCGTCGACGTCCTCAAACGGAACTCCGAGCCTAAAATCACCCTCAAACAGCCAACCAGATTCAAAGGAAGGCCCTGTGTCTCTTTCAGTCCGGAGGAAATAGATGCTTTGTCCCAAAAACTGTCTTACGCACTAGTTGGAACATTTCATCTAGGCAGACCCAACTTGGCTACCATCCGAAGGACTTTTGAAAGGATTGGATTTGCAGGACAGTTCACGTTGGGACTACTGGCAACCAGGTGTGTACTCATACAGTTTGACAGAGAGGAGGACTACCAGAAATGTTGGCTCAGGCAATCATGGTCAATAATGGGCTACGAAATGAGAGTGACAAAATGGACTGTTAACTTCAGCCCGGGAACTGATTCTCCCATACTCCCGCTTTGGGTAGAACTTTGTGGACTACCAGTCCACCTGCATGATAGGAGGGTGTTGCTTTCAATTGCCAATTTAATTGGCAAACCACTCAAGGTGGATACTGCAACAGCCACATTATCAAGACCTTTCGTAGCAAAGGTCTGCATCGAATTGGATATCTCTAAAGACCCCCCCCCCCCCCCTCCAAGATCTGGATACAAACTGGAGAAACGGGATTCGCACAGGAGGTCACCTACGAGGAGATTCCAAGCTACTTGTTAGAGATATATTCATTATATTGTGATCAATGTTTCTTAGCCCTTTGTAGTTAGCTTATATAAATGAATAGACTAGCTAGAATAATGAATAGGCCTTTTAAGGCAATTTGTAATAAAGGCTTTCATGCCTTTTTAGGTATGGGCCTCCTAGAAAAAGGAGCCCAATGATTGTATAGACCTACCTTTCCCGTCAGGCTATATATATATGCCTTAAGGGAAAGGCTAGGTCAAGCTTTTCGGATATTCTCATTCTCTGTGCCGCAGTGCCTATTTCGGTGATAGAAGTTTTACGCTAAGTTTCATATCATTCTGTAAACTTCTTCATCATTCAATGGAAAGCTTCATTCCCAGATCTGTCTTCCATACTCATATATTCTAGACTAGAAAACAGGGACCTAACATCTGGTATCAGAGCCGGAGCTGATCGATCGATTGAAGGCTGAAAAACTCTCTTGCGCGATTCTTCATCGTTGAAGTTTTGCACTTGAGCAATCTTTTGTTCTGTTTTTGTTGTGATTTTTACAGGAAAATGCTTACAGGGAAACGCTTCTAGGCTTGTTGGGATCATTTCTGCAAAAAATCTCGCTGAGAAAGTTGGCGTACAGGTTAAGCCAGATTTGAGAGATCCTGCATTTTCGCGCAACCTCTCAGAACGAAGAACAGGTTCGCGCAACTGAGCATCTGCGCGATTTTGAGCTTCGCGCAACCCTCTTTGCGCGATCTCGGAGTTGCGCCATTTCCAACAGGTTGAGCGATCTCTGCTTCGTGCAAAAACTAGCCTGCGCGATTTCGACATTCGCGCAAAGCAGCACTTGCGCGATCTTGGACTTGCGCCATTTTCCACAACTTGAGAGATTTTTTTGTTTTTGAGCAATCTTTTTAGAAGTTGAGCGATCTTTTAGCATGTTGAGCGATCTTTTTAGAAGTTGAGCGATCTTTTAGCAAGTTGAGCGATCTTTTGACAGTTGAGCGATCCTTGTGAAAGTTGAGCGATCTTTTGTAAAGTTGAGCGATCTTTTGTAAAAGTTGAGCAATCTTTGTAAAGTTGAGCGATCTTTTGTAAAGTTGAGCGATCCTAAAAATTGAGCGATCTTTCAACACTTGCAAAGACCTACTGCCAGAAGTACCCAACAACAGAACAGGACTTAATCAATCAACTGATCAGCCCGATCATTTAAAATGGATGCTTTGTCGATTGGAAACGACACTAGACCCCCGATTCTACGAAGAGGAGAGTATAATGTTTGGAAGAACATATTCCTGAATTTTCTTGAAAACAAAGACCAATCTTCCGGCCTACTTGACTCCATCACTAACGGACCTGCCCAATTGCTGATTGCTGTTGAGAGAGACAATGGAAACAATCCACCCGTTGAGATCGAATGGAGACCAAAGACTGTTGATGAATATGATGACGAGGACCGAGCAAGACTCCGTGCAGATCTCATTGCTAAGACTTATCTTCTGCAAGCCATCCCGAACGACATCTACATGCAGATTGACAACATGTCAACTGCAAAAGAGATGTGGGATGAGATCTTCAAGATCATGCAAGGCACTGAGATAGGAGTGAAAGCTAAGAAAGCCAGCACTTTTACAGCATACGACTCGTTCAAAGCCAAGCTTAGAGAATCACTTGAGGACACCTACCTCAGATTCCTGCAGTTGATAAATGAGATGAGAAAGATTGGCGTGCACAAGTCGAATATGGAACTGAACGTGAGATTTCTATCTTCTCTTGGAGCTGACTGGAAGAAGCTGAGCTCACAGATAAGGCACACAAAGGATCTGGATGAGATGGATATCCATGCAGTGTACAACACACTTGACCAATACGCTGAAGATTTTTCTGATTTTGTGGTAGCCACTGTGACAGCTGACAAATGGAAGGGAGCTGTGGACAAACTAGCTGACACCCTTGCCCTAATGCTTGACAAACCATCAAAGTCTGGTTCCAAGAAGGATAAGATGATAGCTGATGAAAGCGAAAGTGCTGACAGTGACGTTGGTTTCTGGGATGATTCTGATGATGATGAGCTTCGTGACTTCCAAAAGCAGATTGCCCTTCTTACCTCAAGGTTCAACAATCAAATGCAGAAGAAGAAGAAGAACTCCTCAAACAGCAGGCTCCGCAAGTCCTCTTCCAGCAACAACAAAAGAAAAGAGCGATCTTTTGATTCTTCTGAGAATGGAAATGCTGAGGATGCTCCAAAGTGCTTCAATTGTGGGAAGACTGGACATCTGATGAAGGATTGCAGGATGCCAAAGAGGAGGAAGGATGCTGAATACTACAAGCAGAAGATAAATCTGAACAAGAAGAAGATGTTGCTGGCTATGGAAGAAAGCAGTGATAAGAGTGCTCTCATGGCAGAGAAAGATCACTGGATGGATGATTCTGATGAGGAAGAGAATCTGGCCTTGATGGCAGTTGTTGAAGAAGAAGAGAAAGAGAAGGATGCTGATGAGGAAGGAAAGATGAACTCAACCCCTGCTGCTGATAAAAAGAAGGAGAAAGACAAAGCTGGGGAGAAGAAGAACCTGCCTACTGCAACCAATGCTGATGTAGTGACTGCTCTGTCTGCTGAAAACAAGAATGCTGACAATGAAGTAAGTACCTCTAATCCATCTATTCATACTTGCTCTAGAACCGATATGCATGATAAATTTAAGGAGCTAGAGGTGAAATACAATAGATTGTATGATGTATATAATCAACTGCGTGAAAAACAGACATGCTCAAACATTAAGATAATCAATTCAGAGAAAACAATCACTAAGCTCACGACTGAGAATAAAAGACTTAGTGCCAGCGAAAAGGAACTGACAGAGAAACTTAGAACTACTGAGAAAGAGAGAATTAGACTTTTTGGTGTAAATAATTTACTTATGGAGAGAAGGGGTGCTCTTTACACTAAAATCAAAGAACTTGAAGACCTGTTAGCCAAGAAAGACCAAACAGACCAGACTATTTTCCTTAACCAGCCTAAGGACACTCGTTTCTATAACTCCAAGGAGGGCCTGGGTTTGACCAATCCTCAGAACCTGAAAAAGGTCAATTGTAGACAACTCTATGATGTTAGATACAGGAAAATAGGATTGACCAAACTCATGGCCTTCACTGGTACTGCAGAAACGAATGCCCTTGAGGATGAAAAGAGAAAGACAAAGGTTGGTGTCGAGGTTCCTTTTGACTACACAGAGTTAAACAAGAGCTACAAAACCAAAGCACCCCCTTTGACCCCAGCTGAAGAAATCTTGACCTATCCCCCTGAAAAGGAAGCTGTGAAAGACGGAGAGGAGGCTTCCACATCTGAACCAATTGAGAAACCAGCTTACATTCCACCATTGGTGAGAAAGTTTGCTGAGTTAAAAGATTCTTTTGAAAAGGAAAAGCAAGTTTTGGAAA